CAAGATGCTGCGGTCCAAGATCCTGAGATCCGAGATCAACATGATGAGCCAGATTCTTAGCCTGATGTACAGACCAGACACTATATTCGAGTGAGACGACCTTCGTCTAGGTACCCACCTGATGAATACATCATTGTTGCTGAAGATGGTGAACCTTAGATTTCTAATGAAGCTATGACAAGCTCAAATAAAGAAGAATGAAAGAATGCAATGCAGGATGAGATAAATTCATTGCATGAAAATCAAACATATGAACTGATCGAGTTGCCTCAAGGAAGACGAGCTCTAAAGAACAAGTGGGTGTATAAAATTAAGAATGAAGAAAATGGTCAATAGCCGAGATACAAGGCCAGAATTGTGGAGAAAAGCTGCAATCAAAAGAAAGGAGTTGATTTTGAACCGTCTCTCACGTGGTGAAAATGACTTCAGTCCGAACCGTATTAGTCATGGCGGCTTCAATGGACCTCGAAGTGGAACAAATGGAACTGAAGACAATATTTATTCACGAAGACCTAGAAGAGGAGATATATATGGAGCAACCTGAAGGGTTTTGAGCTCCAAGACAAGAAGACTCAATATGCCATTTGAAGAAAAGTCTATACGACTTGAAGCAAGCACCTCGGCAGTGGTACAAAAAGTTTGAATCTTTTATGATTGATCACAAGTTTGTAAAGACTAAGGTCGACCACTGTGTATTTGTGAAGAGGTATGAGGCCAGATATTTTCTGATTTTGCTTTTATATGTTGATAACATGTTGATTGTAGGGAAAGAAAAAATAAGGACAACTGCCCTAAAGAAGGCGTTGAGTTTATCCTTCGCAATGAAGGACCTCAACCCTGCAAAGCTTCTGCAAAGCAGATACTTAGAATCAAGATAATCTGGGACAGACCTAAAAGGATACTGTGGCTAAGTCAAGAAAAATACATTGAGAAGATTCTGAAGAGATTTAGTATGGACAAAGCCAAGACAGTGAGCACCCCTTTAGCCAGACAAATTAAGCTGAATCAAAAGCAATGTCCGAGATCTGATGAAGAAAAAGATGAGATATTAAAGATCCTATATCAATCTGCTGTCGGAAGTTTGATGTATGAAATGGTATGTACGAGTCCTGATTTGGCATATGTTGTTGGAATAGTAAGCCGTTATTTGTCAAACCCCGGCAAAAAGCATTGGAAAGCTGTCAAGTGAACTTAAGTATCTCAGAAGAAAACCAAATTTATTCCTTCAATTTGGAGAAGGTAAGGCCGAGTAGTAAGACTTTACGAATGCTAATTTAGGGGGAGATGCCGACTCGAGCAAGTCGACGACGGGATATTTGATGACATTTGTAGGAGGAGCTATCTCCTGGCAATCTAAATTGTAGAAGTGTGTGGCACTTTCGAGAACCAAGGTCGAGTACATAGCCGCGACTGAGGCAAGCAAAAAAATGTTGTGGGTGAAAAAGTTTCTTTCTAAATTTGATCATAATCAAGACAAGTACGAGCTGAGATGTGACAACCAAAGCGCAATTCATCTTACGAAGAACTCGACCTATCATTCCTGCACTAAACACATTGATGTGAGGTATCACTGGATCCGGGATGTGGTGGAGGATGGACAACTTGAACTCGTCAAAGTGCACACCAACCTGAATTGGTCTGACATGATGAAGAAGTCGGTACCAACAAGGATATTTGATGACTGTTGTGAAGGTGTCGGGCTGATGTCGATGCATTAAAGTCGGAAGGGGGAGAATTGTTGGATTTTTTCTCCTTAAATGCTACCAAGGCCCAATGTCTTTGTGGGGCTCAAGAAACCCTAATCCCCACTTTGATATTCTGGAATTTTGCCTCCTCTCCTATATAAGTTTGTGTTATATGAGAGGTTAGGGTTAGATATTTTGAGAGCACCTCTAGAGATAAGCTTGAGTATTAGACCTCCTTAGGGGAGGATGAGAGAAATACCATCATTGTAGGTGATGTTTGAGTGTACCATCATTATTGGTGAAGTTTGATATTTTGTACCCATTATTTTCATTGTGGAAAGTTTTCATTCTGAACTAGTGTCCCGTGAATTTTTACTTCTTTACATTAGAGAAGGTTTCCCATGTTAAAATTTGCATGTGTTCATCTTTCTTTCTCTCTCTCTCTCTCTATCCTTTCTATATTTCAGTTTCTGCTGCGTATAGGCCGACCTTTCCGATAATCGAGCTCTGAGCTCGACGTTTGACTTCCGCAAAGGCTTATTAGCCTAGATTGAGGGACCGGGATTGTCCCAACACATATGAACCCCAAGGGCGGCCACAGTCGGTAGTGAATTGTGCCCTAAGGATATGGTCGTATATTTGATCATAGGCAGACGCTCTTTGGGGCTAGAGATGATACCTTTGCACTCACTCTAAGTCTTGGTTGGGGAATTAGTCTCATCTTCTCTTTGGTGACAAATTTTCAAAGCACCCGTTGTACCAATGATAAGCTAGCCTTAGGGGCTGTACTCTGAGGACAAGGTGGCTAGAGGGGATTGAATGAGGATATCTCTTTCATTCGAATGAGAGAAAAAAAAGTTACATATGAGACAATAATTAGAACATCAAAACTATATAAAAATATTTCAAGTACATTATATTCTTGTTCTGTGTATACAAACTCGAAGTAAACAAATAATAAAGTTGGACATGCACAAGAACTGCGTGAAGAAGAGTTGTATAATTTCATTTCGTACATACCCACCACTCGCAGTATCAAGTTAAAATATTTTTTCAAAATTAGGTGTGGAGTACTAATTCTTTCATGTTTTTCTCCACTAACAAATCTTCTGATTTGATCATGTCAAGAAATCTTCCAAGTATAGTAAAGAATTGAAACGGTGCTACCTCTTTCAAAATTAGATTTGGACATTGGGTATCACATACAACATATTTAAGGATTTTGGGCCCTTCTTAACTAATTTAAGAACATGATCCCTGCATCCCCACCCCCTCTCAATAAAATTACTTATTTTTCCGATGTTTATCCATTTGAATGAAATATTCTCCTTTGTTGGGTTAGAATGCGAATATTTTTGTCAATGTCCCCTTATTTTGCCTAGAAATGAAAATAGAAACCATTTAATCCTTGCATTTGGTCACAATTTGATTACAAGTTGTCGAAAGTCAAGATTAATAAAATTACATTTAGGCTAATCTAGAAATGTCTATAATTATTAAATGATGGTAGTTCAGTTAACGCTAGGAAACTGAGCAGGTGTTAAGAATGTGCTCGATCCTCCTCAGTATCGTATTTGGGAGGAGTTTAAAGTCGTAATCTTTGGACCCATCCCAAATCGAACTAGTCACGAAGCGATGAACTAATTGAAATATCTCTAAAAAAAATGTCTATAATTATATTTTTGGACCTCGACCAGTTATGTACAAAACATGGACATTTTTCCGCTTGCCACAAAAAAGCCCAATTTGAGATTTACGTGCATCTGGTCTGTCAGTTTGTTTGGGCCGACTAAGTTCTGAATATGCAGAAGCTCACACTTTTTTTTTTTGTAAGTTAAGCTCACACTTATCAGACCAAAAAGCCTGATGAAAGGAAGAAAATTAAAAAAAGCCGTCAACATGTGGCTGATTTCAATGGAATGTGTAACCCCCACCATCTATATGAGTTTGGTCAGGTGTGGTTGATAAGAAGCTGATGACTAAACAAAGAAAATTTGACAAGATGATGTGGAACGGTAGTTAAAGAGTATTTTCTTTAGCAATGTACTTAATTAATATTTTATCATGCAAAGATCTTAACAACATAAAATATTTAAAAAGTATTTAAATTCAAAGATAATAAAATTTTTTACCCAAATCTTAATTAGATACATAATCTCAATAAAATATAAACTAATAAGATAAAGAGTTTAATGTCTCTAATATGGTAAAAAAATAAAATTATCTCCTATACACAAATAAAATTATTCTCCTTTACATGAATCTCATACATTTTTATTGTATGTAGGAGAACACGAGAAATATCAAACCTAAGATAAAATCCTCAAAAACAAGAGATCTTGTAGTATATTAAACATTCTGCTAGCAAATTAACAAAGGGAAAAAGAAGAATAATGTTATAGAAAAATTGTTAGGTTATGTTGTAGAGATAAGAATTGTGGGACCCACACTTGTTTTCAAAAAACAAAAAAACAAAACAAATGTGGGTCCCACAATATCTATCTCTACAACATAACCTAACAATTTTACTACAAGATTATACTTCTATTTTCCATTAACAAATCATCCAATCAATTTATTAAACCATAGAAGTCAATGCTACAACAACACTATCGAGCTAATTGTCTCACGTGAAACACCACTAATCAACTTTAAAACAATACAATTAAATTCGTTTTGGGCAAGAACAAACTGAAAGTATAAAAATTAATGTACGGTAACTATGAAACAGAAGAGTTAATTAATTTTGTACACAACCATGCAAAAACCAAAAAGTAACAAATCAAGCTTTTTTAGCAAAGAGGTTAATGTCCCGTTTGTTTTACAAACAAAAGACAATAATCAATGTAACATTGGAATGTCGGAATAAGAATAATAATAATTTAAAAACAAAAAAAAAATCATAGTTGGTAGTTGATCAGCTGTGACTGTCGGTGCATGGCCATAAGCATCTCTCTCCTTCTCCGTTTTTCTTTCTCTCTCTAAACTGGTCTGCTCAGTTCAGCTTGCAGCTTCATCTTCTGTTTCGAGACAAGAAAAAAAAAAAAAAAGAACCTTAATAGTTGCAATTTCTGCACAAAATAATTACTATCACTATCGCCATTATAGTCATCATTATTATTGCTATTATTATTATGGTGGTGTGCGTGAGAGAGAGAAGAGAGGGATGAGAGAAACCAGAAAACGTTCACCTCCCAAATGATCCCATTGCCGAAGCAATGTAGAACACGCGAAATGGAACAAAGGGTCCACAACTGCATCTAAAAAATGTTTTTCGAAAGTGAATTTTGTTAAGAGTGAAATCGGTTGGTGGTAATGGATCAGTATGAGATCATGGAGCAGATCGGTCGTGGAGCTTTTGGAGCTGCTATTCTTGTTAATCACAAGGCAGAGAAGAAGAAGTATGTGCCATTTTCTATCTTGGTTGTGCTTTCTTTTTCTTTGTGAAGTGGAGAAATTCGAGCTAGCTAAGTGTGTAATTGGGTTAGGTTCAAAATTTGAGAACTGGAACTTAGTTTTTTTCATTCATGGGTTGCAGATATGTGTTGAAAAAAATCAGGCTTGCGCGCCAGACTGAACGCTGCAGAAGATCTGCTCATCAAGAGGTAGGTTTTTTTGGTTTCTAACCACTTGATTTGCCTCATGATTAGAGATTTTACCATTTTAGCTTGTTTTTGGGATTCTAGATGGCTCTTATTGCTAGAATTCAGCACCCTTATATTGTGGAATTCAAGAAGGCATGGGTTGAGAAGGTGAGACTCAAAACAACACACCCCTTATGTTTTTTCAACAATTTGTTAATTGTTATAATGCAGTATTGTACTGTATGGTGTAAACTATAAATAGTTGTGGTATGACTGTTTTCTTTTCATCTTAAGCACTTTTTACTTGTATTGTAGGGTTGCTATGTTTGCATTGTTACTGGCTACTGTGAAGGTGGAGACATGTGAGTTTCCAATAATACTTACAAACACCCACTGCCAAGTAAAAGTCAATGAATTGTATATTTCCATTTACTTAAAAATTTGTTATATTTGTTTTCTCTTCAAATCTTCAACAGGGCTGCATTGATGAAAAAATCAAATGGAGTTTACTTTCCTGAGGAGGTATTCTTGTCAGATATATTTGATTTTCCTATATCTTGGATTTTTGTTTAAATGTTTTAGTTGCTCACAATGGGAGGTGTTTGACATTGCTCAGAAACTGTGCAAGTGGTTTACTCAATTACTGTTGGCAGTTGAATACCTGCATTCAAATTTTGTTTTACATCGAGACCTAAAGGTATTACTTAGATGAAACAAACTATATGGCCTTTTTATTTTTATTCTTCCATTTGATATTAAGTTGGATTTTTATCAACTCTGCTGACAGTGTTCCAACATCTTCCTTACCAAGGATCAGAATGTTCGCCTAGGTGAGTTCATCTACCATATTTGTTTACTTTGGAGATAGATTATTAAGTCTTCATCCTGAATTTGTCTGTAATTTCCTGACATTTATCTAGGGGACTTTGGTCTTGCTAAGACACTAAAAGCGGATGATTTGGCTTCTTCGGTATGTGCAAAATTGGGAAGCTATTCTTACTTTGTTTTTTTTTTTTTAAATCCAAACTTTTTGCTTAGAATCCTACATGCTAAACTTTGTTCTGTCAAGTTTCGACGGCATGGATGAATCCTACATGCTAACACAATATGCTTAGAAGCACTTAAGCACAGTTATAGGTCTAGGATTTTTGTTGCGTAAAATCGGCAAGTGCACCGGTCGTACCAAGTAATAAAGAGTGAGTAGAGTATCGTCTCCACGAGGATTGAGGCACCTAAGTTGTTATAACTATTCCTCTCTTGTTGGATTAATCAAAATAGGTTGAGAGTGATTGTAGTTCATGAAACAAACTAAAATAATTAAAGTAAAAATGTAAATGATTCCAAAAGTGTTTTCAGAATGCAAGAACAAAAGATTAAGGATTGGGAAAATATTTGAGAAAATATTGCGGTAAGAGAAACAAACACCTTTCCGATCCCCACCTTGCAACTTGGATTACGTTTACATTTACCTATTCAATTGATCGAACAATTCATCATCTTTTATATGAGTAGTTAAGCCCTAATCCCTTAGTGACTTTAACCTTGTTAACTCTATTAGAATCTTAATCCCTTAGAAATCCCTTTTCGAGTTAACCCTTAGAATCAATGAACCTTTAACGTTCGCTGTTCATGTAGCCTATCCCTAGTGCGTACATGAACAGTTATCTTATTCTTTGTCAGGAATTAGAATTCCAACATCCCTGTTGTAAACCCTAACCCTCGCAACCCTACTAGATTGATCAGTTCCAATAGAATTATAGAATGAAGAACAAGAAAAGATAAATGCAATTAAAATAGATAAACATAAATTTCAACCAAGGTACAAGGGGTTCACATCAAGGGTTGTGACCCTTACCACAATGATAAAACTAGCCAGACATGTTCATGTCTGACAAAAGAACAATAAAAGAGAGTAGCATTTAAAACCTAGAAGAGAAAGGGAAGATGAAGATCTTCCGTCTTGATCGATCGAACCCTTGAATCTCCGAGAAGCTCCAAGGAATCTCTGCTCTATTTGTTGTTTTCCTCTCCTTATCCTCCAAAAGTTCCTTCTTCTTATGTTTCTGATCCTTTTATTAGGTTTTGGGAAAACCTATTTCCCTTTGCACTCCAATTGGGCCTTATTTTAGCTGATTCGCACTTAAAAATATATCGCCCGCGCACGGGGCGCCAAGCCTGGCGCCCCAAACTTGGGAGAAACAGAAGCTGAATCTGTAAACGGCGCCCCGGGCGCCAACTCTGGAGTGCCGTGCGCCAGTCCCGCGCTCCGTGCGCCAACTCCCGCGCTCTGGGCGTCAGGTTGGAGCGTCGTGCGCCACCTCCCGCGCTTCGTGCGCGACCGAAACAGAAGCAAATCGTCGATTTGGCGCCCCGTGCGCCAAGTACCGCGCCCTGTGCGCCAGTTTGGCGCTCCGTGCGCCAACCTCCGCGCGTCGTGCGCCAGCGGGAAATTTGGTTTCTCCGTTTTTGCTCCTTTTTGCGGTGTTTCCTGCTATTTAAACATATAACTTGAGTGAGAACATGATTGAGAAGGAATAATCAATATTTCTTGCATTCAATGACTATTTTCACTCATTTATGATTAATTCCTTGCTTCTTTCAAGTTAGAAAACATCATATGCTAGACGCACATCAAACAATTCCCAGATTTAGATGTTGCTGTCCTCAGCAATAAACAGAATTTAAGCATGGGAAGCAAGGTTCAATCAATCAAGCACAACATTGCACAGACAATCATAAAGATCACTATACTAAGCATGAATGATTTCAACGTCAAACTTAAGATGATGCTCATCAACTACATTCAAACATCAGAGTCTAACTTGATTACCCCTCACAAGACATGATATTCACTCATCACTCAGTGTTTGGGGTCATTCATCATCACTCATTTCATCACAGCTGTTGTACTACCATAAGCTTGATCTTTTTCTCAAGTTCCTAAAGATGAGGAACATCAACACATGCCTGATTGATCAAAAGGGCTTCTTAAGGTTATAACTTGGCTTGGCTTAAGGTTAGAATCTTTTGGAGAGTAGCTGAATAATTATTGAGATTGAAACACCATTTTCATTAATACTCAATCATCTCTCAATTCAAATTTCAGTACCACTTTTTATTCGAATTCATGATTCCTTCCTTTTTCTCACTTTTTCCTTCATCATTGCTTGTCAATCTTTGCAATTTATTTTTCTTTCTCTTTATATTCATGTGAGAACTATTCTTTTCTTTTCCTTTTCAACTGCTTAACTTCTAGTGGAGCTTACCTCAATTACTTCTAACTTTTTGATTATTGACATTTCAATCTCAAACAAGGTAAGTTCTGATGGAAGTGGTCTAAACAGTTTAATAAGGTAATTAAAAAAAATTGGTCTCAGGCTCAACATGGCTAACAATGGATGATTTCTCAGGTAGCTGCTATTTGGCCATAAGCTTAATAGAACAAAATTCCATTTCAAGCATCATTATCATAGAAATCAAACAAACGAGCAATCATAATCTCTATTCATGCTCTATGCAATGTCATGACAATCTTGCATATCATGCAATGCTTCCTCATATTCAACCAAGGAATTGACTGAGTAGCATATCTAAATCAGGACTGTGCTTTCACATAGCAGGAAATGAAACTAAAAACACAAAATTTCTACCAAAATGAGAAAAAAATGAAAATAACTAGAAAGGTTAAAATAACTCCCCTGGAGTAGCTATGAATCCGCTGAACCTTTTTCTGTGTGTGATACCTCGATTGCCGTGTATGCAGCCCCAATTCCCAGATTTAGAATATTGCTGTCCTCAGCAATAACTAAAGTAGTTGGAGAAAATACTGCTGCACAAGTATAAACATCACACATGTGAAATATCAGGCAGAAAATAACATAACCAATGTACTGGAGAATTATAACTCAAAATACCAACGAGGTTCAAATTACCCTAACATAAACCTAGATGGTCAAACAAAGACAACGAAAATAAAACATCAAAATAAAAATTAAAGACAGATAAGGGGAAGGAAATAAAAAAAATAATAATAAAAACTCATTGGGTTGCCTCCTAAGTAGCGCTTGTTTAACGTCACGAGCCTGACGTACCCCTTGTGATCATAGTGGCTGGTAA